GAAAAAAATCTAAAAAATCATATGACTTCGATCATATTATAAAAATGCAAGATTATAATGAGATTGATACTAAAGCCTTTACCTATGCCAAAAGACATGAAGGACAATGCTTGGCTAAAGTTAGATCAAACCCTAATATTTATTTATGGGTTTGTAAAAATCAGCATCGATAGGAAGCATCCTATAGAGATATGAGATGAAATTATAGGTGGTGAATAGTTGTTCTCATATATTTGAGTGAAGATATTCGAAGAATTATTACATAAAAAATTTCCACCTCGAAAACCTAAATTTTTAGGAGGCTTACAACTTGATGGATATAATGAGGAATTATATTTGGCCTTCGAATACAGTGGCAATTAGCATTATCAAATTGTTCCTTTTTTCTATCCACAAAGACAAATTAATTTAGATGCACAAATTCAACGCAATTGGAAGAAGAGAGCATTCTGTTTTAAGGAAGGTATAATTTTTATCACAATTTCCTATTGTGTTGTTGATCTGCCAACTTTCATCAAGAGTGCCTTGAATGCATTCGGTTTCCTTCCAATACTCACCTAGGAGGTAAATGCACATCCTTTACAATTTGAAGTTCTTCTCTTACGAATGGGCGTCTCAGACCGTTATGTAGCTTGTAAAAACTGGCTGGTTATTTTTTCTTGAAAATGATTCGATCGAAAAAATTTCAGGAGACCAGTTACAATCAGTAGCCCTCCTTCTCCAGCCTTCTAGTTCACCAGGTTCTAATAGATGCCAAACTTTAACATCAGATGATAGGAGGGGTTCATCGTAACCTATGGGCCTTTTGTGCTTGACAGCTAGATCTGCAAAGATTTTCTCACCTTCTAATGATTTTTTTACAGCTTCATTGGGTGATATGTGTATTAACTTTGTAGGGAATCATTATATTTATCATCATTAATGTGAAGGTCGACAACCCACTCCCTAGATCTATCAGTCAATGGTAAATGTAAGTCTATAGCATCTTGGCAAAAAAAGGCATGCTTTTCAAATTCTTGGTGATCTCGCTCGCAATAGCCACACTTCATTTAGATTTAGCATACTGAATTCTCACACCATGTCTGAGAAATAAATCCCTACACTCACCCATATATTCGGTTCCTTTATTCACAATTAAAACTTTTGGCCAGCTAAGTGGACAATTTGGATCATCATAAATTTTCTGAATCTCCCTAGCCATTTGCGTAGCTGTTTTATCAGTCAAAGCGAAACTGCGCCGATATCTAGTTGCAATATCCTTTATCACTCCTTGGTATTTATAAGTTTGATTGCCAACT